TGCGCAAATGACCCGTGGCATTGAATGCGCGAATGACTCCCAGATTGCGTGCGGAGATGACTCTGCCACCGTCACAGACACAGGCACACACACACAGGCGCACACACACACACAGGCGCGCAAACACACACACGCACACGCAAACACACAAACACACAAACACAAACACACGCAGGCATACAGACACACACACAGACAAACACACACACACAGACACAGGCACACACACAGGCACACACACAGGCGCACACACACACACACGCAAACACACAAGCACGAACACAAACACACACACACACAGGCATACAGACACACACAGACAAACACACACACACACAGACACAGGCGCACACACACAGGCAGACACACACACACACAGGTGCACGCACACAGGCACACACACACACAGGCGCGCACACACAGACGCACACCGCAAACACACAAACACACAAACACAAAACACACCCGGGAATACAGACACACACACAGACAAACACACACACACACAGACACAGGCACACACACAGGCACACACACAGGCGCACACACACAGGCACACACACAGGCGCGCGCACACACACACACACGCACACGCAAACACACAAACACACAAACACAAACACACACAGGCATACAGACACACAAACACACAAACACAAACACACACACAGGCATACAGACACACACACACACAGACAAACACACACAGACACAGGCACACACACAGGCACACACACACAGGCACACACACGCACACGCAAACACAAACACACAAACACAAACACACGCAGGCATACAGACACACGGGCAGACACACACACACAGACACAGGCACACACACACAGGCACACACAAAGGCACACACACACACAGGCATGCACACACACACACACGCACACGCAAACACGCAAACAAACACACACACAGGCATACAGAAACACACACAGACTAGCACACACACACACACAGACACAGGCACACACACACACAGGCGCACACACACACAGGCGCACGCACGCACACACACACGCACACGCAAACACACAAACACACAAACACAAACACAAACAGGCACACAGACACACACACACAGACACACACACAGGCGCACACACACAGGCACACACACACAGGCGCACACACACACACAAACACACACACACACACACACACACACACACACACACACACACACACACACACACACACAGACACACACACACACACACACACACACACAGACAAACACACACACACACACAGACACAGGCACACACACACACAGGCACCCACACAGGCGCGCACACACACAGGCACACACACACACAGGCGTGCGCGCACACACACACACACGCACACGCAAACACACAGACACACAAACAAACACACACAGACACAGCCATACAGACACACACACAGACAAACACACACACACACAGACACACACACACAGGCGCACACACACAGGCACACACACACAGGCACACACACACACAGGCGCGCGCACACACACTCACGCACACGCAAACACACAAACACACAAACACAAACACACACACACAGGAATACACGTACGACGGCAATTGGTCTAAAGGAGTGGCTGGCTGCTCGTCAGGCGACCTTCCGCCGCGCCCGCAGCTTTGGGCAAGCGGGCATGGTCTTGCGGCCGCTTCAGGAGTCGCCTTCCGGGCTGCCCGGGGAGGCGCCCCCTCCTGAGCAGGCCGGCATTTAGGATAATTTTCTGGAATAGCCTTGTTGGTGTAGTTTCAAAGGTTTGCTGCAAGCAATTCGTGAAGTTGGATATCAACAAGCGTTGATGGCGAGTGAGCGATATGTATACAATTCTCCAATGGCCGACGCGGTTTATCTTATTTCAGGCTGACGGTGTACAGCCAAAGTCGGGCTTGACTGGGCGGGCGCAGCCTTGTCGCCATGCATTTGCACGTTGTGCAGTTTCTAAACGGAACGTTTTCTTGCTCAAATGCCAGTTTTCCAAGGGCAGATGCGGCTCGCCACCCCAAGTTCCCAATAAACGTTAATCTGTTTTTTTTCATCTCTCGCCTTCTTTAGCGAGATTTCCCCCCAAGAGTATCCCGCAGAGAGTTAAGCCACAGCGGGTGACGGATAGTAATTGGTTACGATTAGTTGATCGGTTGCTGCCTGTGTGCCAACCGTCTTCGGTCAGGATGAGGAGTCCCCAGCCAAGAAGCACTGGCGGCGGGTGCGCAGCTATTCCAACTGTGGTTCTGCTATGCAGGCTGGGCTAGGCCTTGGGCAGTTTTGGCTCGCCTCCAAAGAGTATTTCAAGACTACTTGCGCAGAGAAAGCTTCTTTCAAGACTTGGTGACATCTGTGTTGTAGGTTGAGAGAGCGCAGAGCGGTCGGCTTTGGATGTTTGCTTGTGTGCCGCTTGGACGCCGTAGGGAGTGCTGAACGACGTTCGCTGCAAGCAGACGGAGGGCATCTACAGCAGCGACTGGGCGCACCTCCCACCCTCCAGCACGTCCGCGAGTTCGCGGAGTTCTTTGTTGGAGGACCCCTTCAAGGCGTGTAAGATGGATTTGGCAAAGAGTCTGCCACATGTTTAGAATGGGCAACGACCAAGGGCTCATGCGTCGATGCTTATTCACATCGTTTTGTGACGGCCACGAGACCTGAAACCATATGCATATGTGTTTGACAGTTTGGCCAAAGCGCGCATGGTTTGGTCATAGCAGCCTGGAAAAAGCCTTCCTCCCCAGCACACCTTGTCCGATGCTTTTTTCTGACCCGCGTAGGCTTTACAAGACGCAACGGGCCTGCATTTTGGCTGACTTAGACGATTTAGAACGCACTTGCATAAGCTATTTAATTGTTCTCAGGCAAAATAAAAGGCATAGTTTGGTACAAGTGCGGTGTTCCTCAAACACAGAAATTAAGCATCGCCCCAAGTAGTCTGAGTCGGAAAAAGATCAACGGAGTCACACATGGCTGCGAAACAGCTTCCTGGGCTAGTGCCGTGCTACTTGTTCTTGTTGTGGCTTTAATCGACAAACCCGATGTATGTGGTGTCTCTTCAGGCTGGAAGTATCTGGAAGTGGCAAACAAACACATTTGATTGCTTGCTAGTAGAAGGTGGGGTTGCTGAATTTCTGGGCACGCCGGAGCTTGATTTCAGAAGGGCTGCCACCATCAATTCGCTCAAGACTTCTTTACCCACAGTTCTTGTCCTGCTCAGGGTATGGTTTGGCCTGCACACGAAAGACTCGTGGGAAGATCCTACAGCACACCCACAGAGTCACAGCAAAGCTGCGACCCATTGCATGGTTTAGAGTCGGTGCGAAATTGAAAGCCAGGTCCTGGGTGACCAAGGGGGCGAGGCAGCGAAGGACCGGGTTGGCAGCTTCATGTGGGAGACATTTACGCAATGGTTGGAGGGCATTTGGCATTTGCGCAAACAGCTGGCCTCGGGCCTGCGTGCCCAAAAGGGCATGTGCTTTAAGTTCTAGAGAGCTACTTATGCGAAGCTGCGGAAGACAAAAGCAGATTGTCAGGGACACCTTCAGAACACCCCAAGTCAAGTTGCACCAGGCACGCGCACCGAGCCCGGCTGCCATGCATTGGCAAAAGCTGAGGCGCGTGTCGCGAGGCAGCAAGGGGCCGCGCGAAAAGCTACCGGCACTTGTATTGCATTTTCTGATATGTTGTAATGGTATGTGTGACGTGTCAGCAGCAGACGCTGCCTTGCTTTCGCAACTCTTCAAAGAACTCTGGAAGGAACCCAGAATGAAGAAAACTGCCATTGTCACAGGGCTGTGGGTACAGCATGTTTTGCGAGGGAACTTCCTTGCATGAACTTAGATGGAACGCATTCAATGAATGAACTTGTGGTTGCGAGTGTTTGTGCGCAATCGAGCTGCTTTTCGATAAGCAAATCGAACGCGCCCCTCAGTTTAGTGGCAGTTTTGCTGCGTTCTCGATTCCACATCTTGGTCCAGTGACGCTGGAGATTTTAGCCAGGTCAACCGTTTGGCCCTACAGGTCATGAGGCTAGGAATGTGTCCAAAGGTTAGGGAAAAGCTACATGGCTGGAGTAGGTGGAATCCTTGCTTCCTTCCTCAATAAGTCGCCATGGCTTGGGTACAAAGGTCCTTCTATCCGATTTCGGCCTGGTCAAGAGCGTGGGTCTGGAAGTTTCAGCATCCTTCAGCTCGAGCGTTATCCTTCTACTGAGACACCTTTTTCTCCTGACTTGAAAGTTGTTTTGGTGTGTTGCCCAGGTCAGACGCCAACCATATCTTTCAAGGGGTGTTGGACAAGGTGCGCGGCAAGCAAACTGAAGACATGTATAGCAAGGATTGGACACATCCACCACCAGAGGGCGAAGCCCCAGAATGATGCATGCTGGCCCAAACATGGCAGTGCATGCGTATGCATGAGCCCTACCTCTTCAGCAATGCCGGACCTGAGGGCTACATGCCATACATTGCATGTGAAATACGCTTGAGTTGGTTCACGAACCTGGGTGTGGCTGCGGTCACAGGTGTCCGGCATGTGTTTGATCGTTGCCGCATAGTATGCGGCAGTGCCAGTGATTTCCTACCTATCCTCTGAAGTTTATGCACTAAATTATTTCCAGCCAACGAGGATTTGCGAGCTAGGACGATTGCAACGATGGCTTGGACGCTTGCGAAGCCTCGGGCTGATAGTGACTTTGCACGGCACCCACACCAAAAGGTGTTGGTACCCAGTACCAAAGAGCCAGAGGCCGTCTGGAGAATGCCTTGGAATGGCTGAAATTCCTCTGCGGTCTCTGCGTTTCTTTTCAATCCAAGTCGGCGCACGGATCCGCGAGCGAGAAGCAGTTCGGAATGCGAAAGCAAGCAGCCAGCCAGGGCTTCGGCAACCTCCTTGCATCCAAGGCACAAGTTGTTCAGCAAAGATGCCCGCTGCCGGCATGTGATTGACCTGGTTGCTGGCGAGATTGAAGTGACCCCGAAAATGCATGCCGTGATTCTTAGGATGACTTCGAGTCTTATTGCAGCGCCTTGGCTTGGGCAGAGTGGTTCATCTGCTTGTGACGTTGACCCGGCATATGCCAAACTGTTCTTGGCAAAGGCCCGTTTGGAGACTTGACCTCCTCACCCAAGACCCCACTTCATCACTGAGCAGAGATGTGGTGTAGTGTGGTGTGGGGTAGCGTGTGGTGTGGTGTGCGGTGTGTTGTGTGTCGTGTGTTATGTGTTGTGTCAGTGTGTGTGTGTGTGTGGGGTGGTGTGTGGTGGTGCGCGTGTGTGTGTGTGTGTGTGTGTGTGTGTGTGTGTGTGTGTGTGTGTGTGTGTGTGTGTGTGTGTGTGTGTGTGTGTGTGTGTGTGTGTGTGTGTGTGTGTGTGTGTGTGTGTGTGTGCGTGCGTGTGTGTGTGTGCGCGCGTTGTGTGTGTATGCACGCGCGCGCGTGTCTGTGTGTTTGTGTGTGTGTGAGTGTCTGTGTCTCTGTGCCTGTGCGTGTAGAAGTGGGTGTGGATGTGGTGGGTTGGCATGTCATCTTTTTGTTCAAGGCCGGATGCGCCAAAAGTCTACCTGGGGAGGCCACGTGGAGGCAGGGCAAGGGTTCGGGAAACTGCAGTGGCTGCTTGCGGTAGCTGCTCAGTGATGGGTGCCTGCCCACCGCAAATTCGCAACATGTCTCTCTTCCAGGTGCAGGCATTGGCTCGTCTCAATGGCGTGAACGCAGTGGCTCGGGCATGGGATTGCCCATTTCGGGAGTGCAAAGCCAATCAAGGACGCAGCTAAATGTTGGACAACGATGGAAATCGTTTGCTTTTTAGCTTTTGTCAGGATACCTTTAGTTCGGTTTCGGTTTTAGTGCAATCAGTTCTTCGGTTCGGTTCGGTTTCAGTTGTGATATTCGCCGAGGTTTTGGTTCGGTTCTCGGTGTTTTTCGGTGCTGGAGGGGGCCCATACACTGCAAAGTCTTCGGGTAGTCTGTCTTGTAGTCTTCCCATAGTCTCTTCTGGCAGTCTTCGAGTCGTCGGGTAGTCGACGGTTCGGGACATTTGAGTACTGCTTTGGTTTCGGTTTGCACGGTTAACATTCATTCCGATTCCGGTTCGGTTCGCTGGACTTGATTTGTGTAATTGTTGGAGCCTTAGTCAAGCACTCTGCGCTCAGGTCATTTATCAGCCATCCCAGGCTTCTGGAAGAGCTGATCAGATCCTGCGCTCTGCTGTGGAGATTCAGGCATCCAATGAGGATGCCCGATGCGTGCAGCTGCTCACCTCAAGTAATAAATCATGTTAGTTGGGTCATGTCACTTGCCCGTTGCCCAGCATAACATATTTGCAGCCAGTTGTTAGCTGACCTTGACTGACAACTGTGCGGCACTGCACCCTTATTCAATGCGCTGTGCTACAAGAGATCATCCTTGTTCCATCTCATGCCTACGTGGCTTGATGCTGAGGTTGTCCTTTCATCCCACCCACCATGCAGGGCAGCACTACAATTCTGTCAGGCATGGTCACACTTGTGCGGACTGTACAGGCAGTCCAGTTCTGGAAGCTTACCCCTACCAACCATGCGGACCCCTAACCCGCATTGCCAAGACTAATCACCTCTTGAGAGCGTATAGCATCATCTGGATCAGGGAACCACTGCAGCAGGGCACTACAGGCCAAGGCCTCTTGTGGGTGGTCCGTGTCAGTTTTAAGCAGGTCCCCGCGTCTTGCGAAGCGTCCACCATACGCAAAACTTTTGGAATGCTGTATGCTTGCAGGTGCTGCACAGACGATGGATCAGGGCCAGCGGAACTGGTCAGCTTTGGTACCTTGGCATCGTGCGTCCGGCTTTCGCGTGTTTGCATGATGTGTTTTGCGGCATGCGTGTTTGCTTGACCGTCTGTGTTTCAACGATTCCCCTTCGTTTCTTCAATGTAACTCACTCGGATCTGCTTCATTTCAGTCATTCTTCCCCTCCTTGTCTCCTATCTCTTTTGCATTTCTCTCTGGCGGGCTCATTGTGCAGCACAAGAAGCCATTTGCAGACCATGCGTCACGGAAACATCCAGTGGTCTTTTGTGCAAAGTTGGCCGAGTTGAACCGGCACGTAGGCGTGCTTGACGCAGTACAGTTATGTGTGTGTGTTTTCATCTAGTCTATGCCGCGATCGCCGTGCGCAACTTCCCAGGAGAAATCAAGAGAAGAGTAGAGGAGACGTTGAGGCCCAAGGAAGGAGCTGAGGCGGGCACATTTTGCTCAGCAGAGAATGCACCGAAGACTTCAGCAGGCATTGATTTCCACTCAGGATGGCCATGCCTCAGATCGATAAGAGCACGAAGCCTCGAATGAGCACTTAGGGCCCATGAGGCTTTTGACAGGGAATCCGAGGGCGATGCATGGGGTGGTCGACTGAGCATCCTTGTTCGGATGACTCTTTTGAGCCTGGCTTCTACAAACTCACCAGCCGGCGATATCCATAGAGCCCTGAGATGGCAACAGCAGCCCCAGAGACCACTTGGGTTCCCAAGCCCAAGAGTTACCGTGATCGGCTGGGTGATGGCAAAGATGCCTCTGCAGCACTTTGTGAAGAGCCCCAAAAAGGATTTACAGCCTATTTTTGACTGCGATTACCGCGTTAAACCACAAAACAACATCTTTTGATTGCATTGGGCCTTCCGGTTGGCCATGGGATTCTGCAGGTAGGCAGCCTCTCTACTAGAGGTCTAGAAGATGGAGTTTGGTAGGATGCCTGGAATCTGGGCAAGCTGGCATCTTGTCATAGGGGTCCTGACTGGAAACCAAGACGCAGCATATCCCTAGCTTGTGAGTCGGGTTTTTGGTGTTTTTGGTTCAATGCCACAAGGCTACCACGCCAGATTCCAGGAAGACAAGGTTGTCCAACGCAGCTGCCCATTGAGACAGTCGAGCCACACATATGTGGAAGACAGTCAGGCAGTGGAAGCTGAATAGCAATGACCATCTTTGCTTCGTATTTTTGCTTCGTATTGTCCCCTTTGCTACGATATCGACGATATCAGGCATTTGTGGGCGAAGTGCCCCGCAGTGACACACGTGCCAAGAGATGCCAAGAGGCTGTGCCAGCACCTTCGCAAAAGCGGCCGTGCTTAGAGGGTGCAGGTGGGCCTCAAGAAAATGTACTTTGGTAGAAAGCAGCAGCCTTTGCAAGGCTGTCCTTGTTAATTAGTATGCTGTGTGATTTGCTCGAGCCAAGGAGTGTCAAGCAGTCGGCCTGATAATTGAGCAAGCAGCCAAACATGTAGTGTCTGCCAAGCAAATGGAGCGTCCCACACGGTTTCAAACGGAGTCGCAGGTTGCCAAGATGTGTTCACATCCGCAAAGCCTACGGAGAGAATGACTATTTTTGCCCAAGGTCTCTTCAAGTTCCAAGCCTCGGCCCAATGGGCCGACAGCTGCGCGTAAGCGGGCATCCGCTCTTGGGTGGCAGCTACCTTGAGCATGGCAGCTGCGAAGGCCACCCTGCCTACGTCAAGCGGAGCTGCTTGAATGCTTTCAGATCTCAAGCGAAAGCAAATTTAGAGGCAGACTGGCAGTGAACGGGAAGTTGGTTGGACAGGGGATGTCAGGCGCAGAGGAATGAAGAGTAGTCTTGGGTCCGGTTGGGCCTTCCTTCCAGTTCTGGAATTTCGACCTTCACTGAAGGCAGAGCCAGGCATGATGTAGGGGCAGTGCGGCCATGCCGAAATGATCTGCGGATATTGGTGTACAGCATTCCGGCTGAGGGTAAACCACGCATGCTGACGTCAGCACACCTGCACATGCCACATATCCAGCATGCCGACAATTTTTGACAACACTGCGCAGGAGCCTGTCCGCTGTAACGACCTCACATGCTTTGATTGCTGAAGCTCCTTGGGCCTTAGGTGACGAACAAGAGACCTGGATCCTGTATTCCGCACGCTTCGGCAGCTCTCCTGCTTGGCTGCTGGGCTGGCAGTAGATGTTTGCGTGCATTGGTCCCCCATCCAGGGACCCACGTTTCGCATGATTCCCGTCTTCAGGGACAGCTGACTGATGTTGTTGACATAACCTGACATGTTGGAAAGACATGGCCTAGAATGGCCTAGAAGCTTAGTTGCTGACTTGCAGATGGCTGCAGGTACTTCACTAGCGGCCTGCCAGAGGCTGGCTTTGGCGGGGCTATGGTCTGATGCCTGCCAAACCCGAGCATGACAAATGAGCGCATGCGTGCGCGCATGTTCAGTTTTGCGGGCTCGTGCGCACATGTCACCGGAAGATGGCCCTGTGCTACCGCATTCCGTTTTGGCATATGCTGCCCTAGTTGTAAGTTACTATGTTGAAAAGTGGGAATGAAGCCATGCGCGCAACCTCTATTTATCCATATGTACATGTGCCGACAGAATGTCAAAGAATGGTACGTCTTTGGAGAGCGCCTGGGCTCAGTCCGATCCAAACCTTGGCCAAGAAATCCGCTTGGCACTCGTAACTTCTTTTCTGGCATTTGGTTCCCAGGCAGCTGCAATGATTGCATTTATTTCGCCTTTTTGTCCTTTTTCGCACTGCTTCCGTTCTTCGTGTCTTTCAAGGAAGCCCCCGCCAAAAACGACAACAGCAACAATGAGACAGAGCGCACGAGCGCCAAGGAAGGCGTGCGCAGCAAAAACAGCAACTTGGAGAAGTGATCGAGCGCGCGGCTCAGAAGCTCTCAACATGGAGACTGACATTCGGCTCAAGCAACGTGCGGGGTCGTCAAGCATAATTGTAAACGCTTCGCGTTGCCCGCCTCGGCCAGAATGCTTTTGGCCGGCTGTGAGGTACTATGTTTTGGTTTGCCTTGAGGTGTTGTGTTTTTTGAGTGTGAGCTGGTTCCAAAAGATATATGGTGGGCTGGGCTGAGGGCCATTCGGTTGGGGCAATTTGACTGATTCTACGGGAATAAGTTTGACCGGTTTCTAGGGTAGATTTGTCAGGTTTACAGGAGAATTTGACCGGTTTCTAGTGACCGGCTCTAGGGGGAGTTTGACGGA